CTCCCGAGTAACTTGTGTAGGGATATTTCTGACACGTTTTTTGTGCTCTAGCTTTGGATATTATTTGATGTGAAGTTTTTTTTTAAACTAATTTGAGAGGATCACGTGCTCATGATTGACCACAGCCGGTCCTGCATTAGCTGATCATGATCCCACAATCATATGATTCCTAAGTCACTATAAAAACCCACAGTTTTCATTCCACATTTACCTTCGTCTGAAAGAAACCCCCCTTTCTTCCCCTTCTCCTCCTTTTTTCTCATAGATTAGGTGGCATGGCAGTCCAGTAGTAAGCACTATTGGCCTCACAGCAACAACACTGCCAGCTCTAGTCCTCACCAGGCCAGTGGATGTTTCTATGCAGAGTTTGTATGTTCTCTCCATGTCCATGTGGGTTTCCCCTGGGTTCTCCGTCTTCCTCCATCCAAAGATATGCATCATATATAAGTAGTTTAACTTAGCCACTTTAGCCGGGGAGGTTTTTGAGATCTACCTGAGCTCAATCTTCCCTCTCGCTCTGGGAGCTCAGGGCTCACTCCCGGGACAGCATGCCAAACAAGCTTATGATAAATCATCAGCTAAGTGTAAACTCTTGAAGGACTTATTAAAACCCTAACTTCATGTGGATCCACCTCATGACCTCATTCAACACAGTGAAAGTAAACACAGAGGAAAAAACATTGTACATTTTGTTTTTATTCATTTTAGAATGTGGAGAAGTGTGGTGAGATGTTCAAAAATCAAACATCTGGATTCTGCACACACTGATCTGAAACCTGAAACACATCATTAAAATTGCATTTAGATACCAAAAAAGGTATTTGAGTTAAGCTTATGCCAGACCACTTTCATAGCAAACCAAGCAGTTGCCATAAACAACATACCTTTGGATGACTGGTGAAATTAAAGTGGTACGGAAATGATTCAGAGTCAAACACCACTATCACCACTTCAGCCTCAGCATTCTCAACACACTGGACTGACTTCTGAAACATATAAAACCTTCATAATCAAAACAAACAAACAAACAATGAATACATGAATTATGAGTACATGAAACTGATTTTTTTTACCACTATTAATAGCCTGTTTTTTTATGATCAGATAATTGTTTGTTACTTTATTTTTTTTTAATAAAGAATTTATTTATTATTATTATTATTATTATTATTATTATTATTATTATATTGTTTTTGTTTATTACGTCATGTGCAATACGGCAAAATTGTATATTTTCGAATGTCAAATATTATGTTGTAAAATTTTTAAAATTCTCAAAAAAATAAAGTAACAAAAAAATTATCTGATCATAAAATAAAAACAGGCTATTAATAGTGGTGAAAAAAAATCAGTTTCATGTACTCAATTCATGTATTCATTGTTTGTTTTGATTTGATTGTTTCATAGCAAACCAATCAGTTGCAATAAACAACATACCTTTGGATGACCGGTGAAATGAGGGTGGTACGGAAATGATTCAGATTCAAACACCACTTTCGCCTCTTCAGCCTCAGCATTCTCAACACACTGGACTGAATACTGAAACATATAAAACCTTCATAATCAAAACAAACAAACAAACAAACAAACAATGAATAAATGAATTATGAGTACATAAAAATTAAGGGATGAAATACCTGAACTGGAAAAGTGGTGGTGATTAGTTCGTTCACCTCATGCTTCCAGTTCAAACAACTGAAAGTTTTGCAGCATGCAGTGGTGTTGCCCTAATTAGAAAGGAATTAAAAAATTTATAACATATTTGATTATTGTCATTATAAATAATTAGACCTCTAAAAACAGGCTATTCAGAAATGGAAAAGATCTTAGGATACCATATACCAAAACACTTTATTACAAATTATCTTGGAAACTATGAAGAAGGTGGTAGTGAAGGAGGATGTTTATCTTATAGATATATAAAATGTGGCAAGCAAGAAGAGTGCTGCCAGATACCGGTATAAGCATGACACCCCTCTATTAGTGATTGGATAGAAATTGCGAAGGAAATAAGCTATTTGGGAGAATTTATTTAGAATTATTTATGTCACTTTTATTATAGAATTTTTGAGACTTAAAAAGACTTATTTCTAAAATATTGGATGAAATGGATTGATTATTGCAATGTTAACAACTGTTGTGTGCACTGGATCTGGAACAAATTCACCCAACCCCCTCCCCAATGTTGTGTTGTTATTATTATTATCATTATTATTATTATTATTATCATTATTATTATTATATTGTTTTTGTTTATTATGTCATGTGTAATACTGCAAAATTTTATATTTTTGAATGTCAAATCGTATGTCGTAAAGTTTTTTAAAATTCTCAAAAAAATAAAGTAACAAAAAATTATCTGATCATGAAAACAAAATCAGGCTATAAATAGTGGTGAAAGAAAAAGAACCAAACATGTTTGTCTGCATTCCAGTAACATCGCTTGAATGTACAGTGTAACTTTAAATCATTTATTCTTCAAATAATTAAAGTTTTAATCTTAAATTGAAAGTGTTGCAATGTTTCTGATATAATGGAGGCATTTTTTACAAAAGAAGAAAATGGCGTCCACTGAAACGGCGTCATTGCTAATGGTTAGCATTAGCTTCGGTTTTAGCTACAGTAAAATAATCGGAACAATTGTTTAAAACTATTCTTGGCATTTTTGAAATGTATAAAGAAAAACCAAACAGACAACTGCTGAGATAAACTCTTGTCCTAAACAGACTCATCTGCATTTATACGATAAAGCAAAAGCAAAGACATAAAAGCATTCACGTCTTTGGTTCCCGACATTTCAGTAAAGCCCAAACTACCCTAGCATATAATTTAGGGCCTAACTATATATACATTTTCTAAAAGAATACCTGAAAGTTTTTTTTCCCTTCAAAACTACCCAAAATACATTTAAAAATCATTAATTACAAACCATTTTTTGTGAAATGTCTGGGAATGTCTGAAGATCCACACAGGTGTGTACTGACTGAGCTATTTTTTACATACGTCATCGTGCTTGTATCTGGATGGCGGAAAAATTGTGTATTTTTTTAAATTAGCAGATAACTAGTACACAACATTACACACAATGAGGGCAATAAAGTAAAATCCCACGCTCCCTAACAAATAAAGTTATAATATAAAAACAACAATAAAATAAATACATTTTAAAAATCCCAAATATGTACATCGCATCTCATCTTTGTCGTACCTGGATTTAGCATGATGAAGAAAAGACTTGATAACTCAGAATTCAAATCCATCTCATTAATAATGATATCAAACATCCAGAGCAAATAATCCCATCTGATATACACACTGGCCACGATAAACACAAGTGACAATAATGAACATCACACCCTGTCTTTTGACAGTCATCCTCAAAGTCCTCTCATGCCTTTCATACCTTTCATGGCTTCATGAACAAAGCTGACAGGTCTGATTGAAATGAATTGATTAAATGATGACTTTGACATATATAATGTAGGTGAGGTAGTAGGTTATTAAAGGTTATGATGGTGCTAGCATATGGATAGGATTATGTATATATATATATATATATATATATATATATATATATATATATATATATATATATCAGGGGTGTCCAAACTTTTTAGGCCGAGGGCCAGATGCAAAAAAACAAACGTTGTTGCGGGCCAAATTTTACATACATCACACAGACACAGACACAGACACAGACATATATATATATATATATATATATATATATATATATATATATACAGTTGAAGTCAGAATTGTTAGCCCCCCTAAATTATTAGCCCCCATTTATTTTGTCGCCAATTTCTGTTTAACGGAGAGAAGATTTTTTTCCACACATTTCTAAACATAATAGTTTTAATAACTCATCTCTAATAACTGATTTATTTTATCTTTGCCATGATGACAGTAAATAATATTTGACTAGATATTTTTAAGACACTTTTATACAGCTTAAAGTGTCATTTAAAGGCTTAACTAGGTTAATAAAGTTAACTAGTCAAGTTAAGGTAATTAGGCAAGTTATTTCATAACAATGGTTTGTTCTGAAGACTTAAGGGGCTAATAATTTTGACCTTAAAATGGTTCATAAAAAAATTTAAACCGCTTTTTATTCTAGTCGAAATAAAACAAAAGTCTTTCTGCAAAAAAAAAAAAATTTTCAGACATACTGTAAAAATGTTCTTGCTCTGTTAAACATCATTTGGGAAATATTTAAAAAAGAAGAAATAAATCGAAGAGGGGCTAATAATTCAGACTTCAACTGTGTGTAGACAGACAGACAGACAGACAGACAGACAGACAGACAGACAGACAGACAGACAGACAGACAGACAGACAGACAGACAGACAGACAGACAGACAGACAGACAGACAGATAGATAGATAGATAGATAGATAGATAGATAGATAGATAGATAGATAGATAGATAGATAGATAGATAGATAGATAGATAGATAGATCATAACAAGAACTACTGCTTAATTGAATGCATGTAATAGCGACACCCGGTGGTTATTTATTGAATTACGTTCATTTTTGTATAGCGGGCCAGATTCTATTATTATTTATAAAAAGCCTCGCGGGCCACCACAAAACTGATTGCGGGCCGCAGATGGCCCGCGGGCCGTAGTTTGGACACGCCTGATATATATATATATATATATATATTTTATTTTTATTTTTTTCCCCAGAGATGGGTTGCGGCTGGAAAGGCATCCGCTGCGTAAAAACTTGCTGGATAAGTTGGCAATTCATTCCACTGTGGCGACCCCAGATTAATAAAGGGACTAAGCCGACAAGCATATATAATTTTTGTGTGAACTATCCATTTAGATTATATTTTACACCTGTCTCCCTCTGGTAATCTGACACAAATGAACACAATCTTAAAAACCATTTAATTGTCATTAAAATCTCATTTGAATGTGTCTGAAAACTATTTCAGTCACGCAAAACACAACCTTTGCTCCTTTGCCTCGTCACTATAGGGTCATTGAGACTGGCCAGTTATCAGTTACAGGAAAGAAATCAAAGGCTTCTCACACATCTGTCGAGTGCAACCAGTGCAAAGCCAAAAGCCTGGGAGAGTAGACTTAAATCATGGCGAAGCGGAGACGAAACGGATCTCGTGGTAATGGTCGTACTGCTCGAGGAGGAGTTCAAGCACAGCAACAACAGCAACGCAAGCGGCCACCTATAAAGGTCAGTTTGAACAAATGTTTAGGCAGCGATTCCAGCAACTGAAAGGATGTGTTTGTCTTTCACTCCAGCTTTAAGTTCTGCTTTCTCTAAAATATTCTTGACTCCTGAGAAAAAGTAAATAAAATAAAGTGATATATCTGTGCCCATGTTATATTAGGAAATGTAAAAAATATACTAGAAGCATCAACCTAATGATTTGTGTCAGTATGATATAAAGTTATTTAATCACCCATTATGCACCGCAAAAGCTTTAGATGGAAATAATTTGAAACCAAAGAGCAGCATGTGGCTTTCCATCACTGGCATTTCTCATGTCAACCTCTGTAGTTGGTTATCTGAGTACACGGTACAGGTACATGCCCGCCCTTCCTCAATTGCAGTCACGCAATTATTATTATTTTATATCCTGTAGTTCATTTCCAGCATTGAGATCAGTTAAGCAGTGGTGTGGTGTGATTCTATCTGTCCGAAAGTGGCCCTCGGAGGGGTTTCCTCCTGAACAGCTGATGGTTCAAAGGGCAACATTATTACAACATCATAGATTATTGAGTGTGCGCAGATACACACTCACTCAGGCGCATGTATCGAACACCTGTCTATTTACCAAGAGCTAATGTGCAGCGCCACTTATCACACTTCAGAGAGGATTAGATCACTAAGAAAACATTGAATTTGACATTCAGCTGGTAAAAGTAATTTATTTTTTTTTGTACAAAAAGTTCCTGTACTAAAATATGTGTATATGAGCAGTTCAATGCAAATGCTAAAAGTTTTCACCTAAAAAAAGTCATTGGTGTAGGTTTGTATTATATATATATATATATATATATATATATATATATATATATATATATATATATATATATATATATATATATATATATATATATATATATATATATATATGTATGATTGTGTGTGTAGCACCCCCTGCCCTCTTAGGCTTTGTCCTGACCTAAGCTCTATAGGGTGGAGCACCGGATTCTTACAGTTTAGAACTTCACTGAATAAGTAAGCAAAACAAATTAAGTTATAAACAAATAGAAATTTATTTATAAACTAAATAAAATAAAGATGAGTATATATATATATATATATATATATATATATATATATATATATATATATATATATATATATATATATATATATATTATTTATATAGGTGGTATATTACGTGTAAATATAATTATAATGCTATTTATAATCAGATATGAATTATAAATACAATCTCATATCAATTCACAATACATAAAACACAAAGTGTAAAGAGAAACAGTTATTAACCTTCAATAAACAGACACAGTATGAGTATTTAACAACTGGACCCCAATCACTTAAGCAATAAGCATTTTATTTACACTTTTGTGACTTGATGCACTTTTTAGACGCTCCCTTAATAAAACTGTAAATTCACCATTGAATGACTTAGATTACAGTTATTTAGTGCATTCGTAAATATATATATATATATATATATATATATATATATATATATATATATAATTATGTTTATTGGATCTCTTCAATACAGACATAACAAAACCTTTTCAAAAGATAAGCAAGGAAAAAGAACTCCACAAAACAACGAAGAGAAAAAAGTAAGAAAAAAAGCTCAGATTACTTAATACAGATCCCACATTAAACAGATCAGAAAAGGGGCTAAAACATAATTTTTTTTCATATAATAATATAGTTATAATATTCTTTTTAGCACGATAGGGCAAAGACTAGGTTCCAAATAATCCAAATATGGAGTCTAAACTTTTTTATTTTTTTATTTAGTTTTTTTTGTGTAAAACATGGGTAAGATCCAGGGGAATCAACTCAAAAAATGATCTTGTGCCAACCTTTATGTGATGGAGATTTATCACCAATCCAATTAATTAAAACTTTTTTTCTGGAAGCAAATTTTAATATATTTGTATGTTATAAATATATTATGAAACTGGAATAAATGATGTTTTAGCCCCTTTTCTGATCTGTTTTATGTGGGATCTGTATTAAGTAATCTGAGCTTTTTTTCTTCTTCTTTTTTCTCTTCGTTGTTTTGTGGTGTTCTTTTTCCTTGCATATCTTTTATATATATATAAAGTAAGCTCTTTTACGAATGCACTAAATAACTGTAAGTAATCTAAGTCATTCAGTTTACAGTTTTATTAAGGGAGCGTCTAAAAAGTGCATCAAGTCACAAAAGTGTAAAATGCTTATTGCTTAAGTGATTGGGGTCCAGTAGTTAAATACTCATACTGTGTCTGTTTATTGAAGGTTAATAACTGTTTCTCTTTACAATTAGTGTTTTATCTATTGTGGATTGATATGAGATTGTATTAATAATATTAAGCTCAGAAATGCCATGAAACACAAAAAACCCTAATTGGGTCTCACGTACTGTATCAAGCAAGCATGCTAGAGATTCCATGACAAAAAATGTTATAAATATTTGCCTATATTTCACTGAATTTACAATGCCTGCATATACACTTGGACTATATTAAGGTCAACTCTAATCTACAAATGTATAATAAAATGATATTGTTCATTCTTTATTAATAATTCATTCTTTATTAATCCGGGGTCGCCACAGCAGAACGAACCGCCAATTTATCCAGCAAGTTTTTACGCAGCGGATGCCCTTCCAGACGCAACCCATCTCTGGGAAACATCCACACACACACACTCATACACTACGGACAATTTAGCCTACCCAATTCACCTGTACCACATGTCTTTGGACTGTGGGGGAAACCGGAGCACCCGGAGGAAACGCAGGGAGAACATGCAAACTCCACACAGAAACGCCAACTGAGCCGAGGCTCGAACCAGCGACCTTCTTGCTGTGAGGCGACAGCACTACCTACTGCGCCACTGCTTCGCCCAAAATGATATTGTATAATAATAATATTGTATAGTAAATTGAACATAACTATATAACCTGCATAATGTAGGGCTGACAAGAGAATATCCATTTTGCATAGATTTTTGCTTATATTTGCTCTATTTCTGTATTTTAAAGAGATCAAATTTTAGTAGGAAAGATTTGGTGAATCGTGATTTCTTGGTGGTCATAAAGTGGTCATATGCATTTTTCATGCCTATTTTTTGCATCTTTTAAACATCTCAATACATATGAACCCATGTGTTTGACTCTTAATGAAAGTTTTGAAGATTCAGATTTTTGGGTGATCAGACTTTTAGTGAACAGTTTTGATCTAGAACATATTGGGCCCTATCATACACCCAGCGCAATGTGGCGCAAGGAGCGGTGCGGCGCAATAGTATTTTGCTACTTTTAGCTCGGTGCAAGGGTCATTTTGAGGTGTTGTCCCACACTGTTTAAATAGCAAATGCATTTGCGCTCAAATGTGCGCCCATAGGCGTTCTGGTCTAAAAAAGCAGGCGTGTTTTGGCGCGTTGCTATTTTGAGAAACTGTAAATAGTCTGATCTTTAGACCAGAACAAAGTCGGTCTATTGTCTGGCGCAAAGTGCGCCTGTCTTACACACTACACACAAGATGCAGAGCAATACGCAAATATCTTTACATATGAAAAAGATATATTAGGGATATATATATATATATATATATATATATATATATATATATATATATATATATATATATATATATATATATATATATATAAAATAAGGATATATATAGGATATAAATATAAATGATTAAAATATTACAAACCATGTTAATTTCTAGCCTACATGAAGATTTAAAAACCACTGCTTTACTTTCTTCATCTCGGGAGGCTTTTTCAGTTCATTCAATTTGCTTTTGTATAATGTTATTATTATTAGCAGCATTATTTATTATATCCATTTTTATATTTGTTTTATCAAAACAAGCTTAGATTTGTCCACCAGTGAGGTTTTAGACCATATGGGGCACAGCATGTGTATTTGGAAATAACTCAGTATTTTGACCACACTTTGTTATTATTAATCATTTATTCGTTTGCTGGAAATTAGAACTGAATTTAGAAATAGTTTTGAAACAAATCTTTGCTCTTAACAAACGAAATTAATTATTTATAGGCTAATTGAGGTCTCCCTATCCACGAGAGCAAAAGCGAAAGTGAACTTACTTTACGTCCTGTAAATAGCGAATGCGCTTATGGCGCGACGCAGCTGGCTCTTAAAGGGAATGGGAGATGAGACTCTGATTGGTTTATTCTCAAAACACACCTACAATGCATTAAGAAAATAAACTCAAACCTTTTAGACCATGCGCCATGGCGCAAAGCGGATTTTCCCGTCCTTAAATTAGCAAAAATACATTCTGACACGCCCTGAAAGCGTTTGCGCCCTGCGTTTTGCGCTCTGCGCATGGACCGTCAAAATAGAGCTCATTCTCTTGGGTCTAGAAGGTGAACAAATATAAGTTTGGATTAATGTAATGATGAATACATTTCATTTTGGGGGGGATGAACCCTTTAATGGTAGCATGATGGCTCAGTGGTTAGCACTGTCATCTCACAGCAAGAAGGTTGCTGGTTCGAATCCTGGCTGGGCCAGCTGGCATTCCAGTGTGGAATTTGCATGTTCTCCCTGTGTTCGCTCTGGTTTCTCCCCCAGTCTTAAGACATGCGGTACTGGTGAATTGGGTAATCAAAAATTGGCCATAGTGTATGAGTGAGTGCAAATATGTGAGAGTGTATGGGTGCTTCCCAGTACTGGGTTGCATCTGAATATATACTATATAATGAATAGTTGGCGGTTAATTTCACCATGGCGACCCTTGGCTTGATAAATAAGAGACTAAGGAAAATAAATGAATGAATAAATAAATGATTGAACCCATTTAATCAAGAAAAGACAGAATCCTGTTAATTTCTGCAGTTCTGCTCAATAAACGATGCAGTAAATGTGCTTCATGTGACCTAATGTCAATTATTTTCTTACTGTTCATCCTAAGAGTCAATATTTCTCTGACAGGCTCTGAGGGAACCAGCTATTTTTGCTAATCGATCGGGCAGCGCCTCAGACACCCCTCAAGAAAAAGTGACTTTAGCCCAGGCTCGGCGTGGCACTCCAGGTGAGAGAAACTATTAAGTGTGACAAAGTGAAGATGAAATATTTTGACATTAAATGGTGTATCAGGCGAGCAGTGGTGCTGGTTTTAGCCTCGGCTGGGTCAGCTGACGTTTCTATGTGGAGTTTGCATGTTTTCTCCACGTTCACGTGGGTTTCCTCCGGGCGCTCCGGTTTCCCCCACAGTCCAAAGACATGCAGTACAGGTTAATAGGCTAAATTGTCCATAATGTATGAGGGTGAATGAGTGTGTATGAATGTTTCCCAGTGATGGGTTGCAGCTGGAAGGGCATCCGCTGAGTAAAACAAATGCTGGATAATTTGGCGGTTCATTCCACTGTGGTGACCTCAAATAAATATAGGGACTAAGCCCAAAAGAAAATGAATGAATAAATGAAAAATGCTGAATCAAAATTGAAAGTACATGTCGTTTGTTTTTGTGCAGCTCAACGGCCAGTCCGAGTGTACGCCGATGGAATATTTGACCTCTTCCATTCGGGTCACGCACGAGCTCTGATGCAGGCCAAGAATTTGTTCCCAAACACACAACTGATTGTTGGCGGTAGGTCACACTGACACCAGTACAGACTCTTTCTGTGCAGTTTTGCAAAAGATAAACAAAAACATCCACGTCACTCGTCCCAAACGCTTAGTAATGACTGCCCTGTACCTTTTGTGTATCTCTGTTAGTATGCAGCGATGCCCTGACGCACAAGTATAAAGGCTACACGGTCATGACGGAGGATGAGCGATATGAAGCCCTCATACACTGTCGTTATGTGGACGAGGTGGTCCGTGACGCTCCCTGGACTCTTACTTCTGAATTCCTAAAAAAACACAGGGTAAATCCATATTCACTTCTTTTATTACAAAGACATTTTGTACTTTGGGCGACGTAGCGGTGCAGTAGGTAGCGCTGTCGCCTCACAGCAAGAAGGTCGCTGGTTCGAACCTCGGCTCAGTTGGTTTTTCTGTGTGGAGTTTGCATGTTCTCCCTGTGTTCGTGTGGGTTTCCTCCGGGTGCTCCGGTTTCCCCCACAGTCCAAAGACATGCGGTACAGGTGAATTGGGTAGGCTAAATTGTCCATAGTGTATGAGTGTGTGTGTGTGTGTGTGTGTGTGTGTGGATGTTTCTCAGAGATGGGTTGCGGCTGGAAGGGCATCCGCTGCTTAAAAAACAGCTGGATAAGTTGGCGGTTCATTCCGCTGTGGCGACCCCGGATTAATAAAGGGACTAAGCTGACAAGAAAATGAATCATTCATTCAACATGAGGTCAGAATGAAGTTGTACCCTGGTATCATGGGGATGTTGCATTTTGTTTTTCCATGAAAATCATGGAAGTTTGAGCATGTGATGCCAAAATGACGTTGGATGTTTGCTTGACATTAGATTTTAGTCACTTTCTAACACAACCTAAAGTCAACCAAATATCAACATCATGTGATGTTGTTATTGAACAAATAACAATGTCCTTAGATGCTGGTTAGACAATCTAACCTAATGTTAATGTCTTATGATGTTGTGTGCCTGCAGGGCAATAACTCGATGCACTACAGAATGTTACGTTTACACACATCCACAAATTACATGTAAACGCATCAACTTTTAAAAGCGTAATACTCACTACTTTTGAGTACTTTTGAAAGGGCTACTTTTTACTCATACTTTGAGTAATATTTACAACAGATACTTTTACTCTCCTTGCACTACATTTTTAAGCAAGTAATGGTACTATTACTTGAGTATGATTTTTCAGTACTCGTTCCACCACTGGTTAATGATTGATGATTTAAGACAGCTGTGGTATGATCCACTTGAAGTTTGTTTATAAAAAACTTCGCTTAGTTTTCAACAGAAGAAAGTAACCCATAAATGTTTGAAACAAGTAGAGTGGGTGAATGATGACAGAATTTTATCTTGGGTGAACTATCCATTTTTGATTATTTGAGTACTTGAGTACAATTAAAAACGAATACTTTTATTAATTACATTTATAAAGAAATAACAGTACTTTTTCCCCTTTACATTTTTATTTGCAGTCAAAAAGTACTCATTTTTGGACACAAACAAGGATATACCTTTCATTATTGCTGTTACTTTTACTTTTTAATACTCAAGTACAGTTTTAAAATGGTACTTTTTTACTTTTACTCGAGAGAATGTTTTTAAACAAACATTTCTCCATTTAATTGAGTAAAAACTTTCACTCAGTATTTGTACAGCATACTTTCACCTGGGTAACATTCTTAAGTACATTTTACACCTTACGGTATATTATTAAGGTATGGTCATTAAGTGATAGAGACTGTCAACAAAAGAATACTCAGGTAGACTGTAGTGTTTCAATAAACAGTGTCTCAAGAATATTCCCCAAACCATTGCACCACCAGCCCAATCCCTTGATTCAAGACAGGATGGATCCATGTGTTTGTGCTATTCATGCCTCAAATTCTCATGTTTATTGCATAGAACTTTAAAATCACCAGAATTACAAATTCTTTTAAACTTAAACCGTCTGACACTCTTAACAGAGCTGCAATAAAGCTTGACATAAAAGTGATAAATGAAACCAGATAAATGAAACCAGGTCATATCAAGTAATACTTGATATTAAGTTTATTAAGTTGATTGATATTAAGTTTATTAATTATTTATTAAAAGTAAAATGTTTAGTGCCGCATTTCAGTTCGCATACTAATACAATGCTCTAAAAGTATGTACTTTTTTGAGTGTGTAACAGAAGAATATGCAAACTTTGGGACACACTACTTCCTTATTAACAGACTGTTATGTTGCTTAGTTACATCTCCTGTCAATCATCTCGACATCATGGAGATGCAGTAGCAGGTTAATCTGCCTGTCGCAAGTCTTTCATGGGGAGAAATGGGATTTAAATATTTTGTAGTTGGCTGGATATTATTTAATAATCATTCAAGCAACTTCACCAAAGCCTCTCTACTTGTCTCTAGCATGTCCATGGCTATGTTTGTAGTTTGTTTACATTTTTCCGCACGTTTATAGTTCTGATCAAGTTCACATCCAACACACAATCCGGGAACCTTTGGCATACCCTTTTCAACATACTACAGTTTGGGACATACCAATTCTATTTTCAAATACTATTTAGGATGTAAAGTGTGCAAATTGGGACACAGCAGCATTAGCTTCATACCATATTCATGGTAAAATAAATCCTCGAAAAATCAAATGTAACTAGAGGTATACAGTAAATGATCAATCATTGCAGTTCATTCACATAAAAGTTTTAGGGTGCTTTCACACCTGTGAATCGATTCAGTTGTTCCGAAACAGAGATTACAATTGTTACGTTGTTGCTCTTTGCTCTTGGAGCGGTTCGCTTTCACACTGCAAAGTTTCTAATCGGACCAAAAGAGCTAAAACAAGTCACGTGTGAGTAAACTCTCCTTACATTGGTCAGAGTGTCAGGGTTTATTTTGCGGAGTCCCGCTCAGCTGTCAGGAGAGGTGGTGGTTTGGTGGTGATTGACAGGGAGCGCGCGCGTGATGTGTCTGAGGAGAGATGCGGTGGGGAGGGGTGAGAAGGGTGCACGACGATGCCTATTTGAGGACCGGGAGGGAGACACGAGAATGCCGGGAGATCATCACTCGTTTCCGGGCATCCGGAGACTCGCGAAACTTCCCGCCCTACTCATAATTCTCTCTTTATATAGCCGTATGCCCATTACATATCCATAAAACACTGTGATATAACCGCGCTCGGATCGGATCGCTTTCTCACTGCAACCGAACCGCTCCAAGGTTTGTTTCAATCGAGCCGAGACCACCTCATTCAAGCGATCTCGGAGCGATTACTTTGGCGCGGAACAGATCGCGAATGCCCTGTTCACATATGCCAATAGAACCGCGCTAACTGGGCAAACGAGATACGTTCCGAAACAAAAGTGTAGGTGTGAAAGCACCCTAAGATCCCTGTTTCATAGTGTCATACTGTACCTAATGTCTTTATTTTCCCATCGTCCTCAGATTGACTTTGTGGCGCATGATGATATCCCATACACCTCTGCGGGATCAGAAGACGTCTACAAACATATCAAAGAAGCAGGTAAAGACTTCACAGCAACCAAACTACACATTTACAGAACTGGCCAGGAACTCATTAAAGCAAACCTCTTCTACATGGCTTATAAGGAATGTTTGTGGCGACTCAGAGAACGGAGGGGATCTCTACCTCTGACATCATCACACGCATCGTTCGAGACTATGACGTCTACGTCAGACGAAACCTGCAGAGAGGATACACGGCACGGGAACTCAACGTTGGCTTCATCAAGGTAATATTGTGTGCTTTTTGTTGGGTTGGGTTGCAATTAGTAATGAATGACTTTTTGAGGTAACTTACCCAATACTGGATTTGAGAAAGGGGAAATGAAGACAGGGTTTACATCTTCATTTGAATGGTTTCAACTCATTTTATTGACAGGAGAAAAAGTATCGTCTGCAACAGCAGGTGGACAGAATGAAGGAGACGGTGAGGACGGTGGAGGAAAAGTCCAAACATTTAGTCCACCGCGTTGAAGAGAAGAGTCACGACCTCATCTACAAATGGGAGGAGAAATCTCGAGAGTTCATTGGAAACTTCCTGGAACTGTTCGGTCCAGATAAAGCCTGGGTAAGTAAGGGATATTTTTGTACGTAAGGGATTAGTTTTGGTCATGTTGTGCTAGTAGAACGCTAGGTTACTTGTAAGGTTACTTATTCGCTCGGTACCTCACTATGGGAAACGCCTCAGGCGTGACAGACTGTGGAAGCACCAATTACACCACGTCTGTCTGAGGACGGACAAATCACAGCTCGCGATTAGGAGCCCACCCTCTCCTTTATAATCCGCTGTGATTCCCCGAATCGGCATTCTAGCACTTTTCCTCGTGAAGACTTTCCTTAAGAACCCAGGCTGCGCTGCTCTGTTCACTCTGTGCATGGGATGCGCACTCCAGAATCTCGCCGGAAGTAGTAAGTCATCCGGGTACTTCTCGCATACTGATTTTCGAATTCTATGAATTCGGACATACTACTCGGCTCGCATACTGATTTTAGCGTACAGTATAGTATGGAAGTATGCGGCTTCGGATGCAGCTATGGAGTTTCCGAAAAAAATCCCCCCTGCAGTTTTGAAAATACTTGTGTTTGTGTTAACAGGACCTTTAAGTGTTCTCTACTTCTCATCATTTTCCTTTTTCAAAAGTCTCAATTCATTCGTCATTCATTTTTCCTCGGCTATTTATCTGGGGTCGCCACAACAAAATGAACCGCCAACAATTCCAGCGTATGTTTTATGCAGTGGATGCACTTCTAGCTGCAACCCAGTACTGGGAAACAGCACTTACACATTGACACACAAACACACACACACACTATGGCCAATTTAATTTACTCAATTTACCTATAGCGCATGTCTTTGTACTGTGGAAAAAACCCACGCAAACCCAGGTAGAACATAATAATAATAATAATAATAATAATAATAATAATTACTTACATTTATATAGCGCTTTTCAGGGCACTCAAAGCGCTTTCCACACATATGGGGGAATCTCCTTATCAGGCACGTGCACACATAGGGCTCAACCTGTGCAGTGCACATGCCCTTTTTAGTCTTGGATAGAAAGTGCCCTTCCAAAATGATCAAAAGTGCCCCCGCGACACCCCCCTGCCCTTCAGTAGGCGCACGACAATACCGCTCTTGAGTACATGCGCTACAACACCGCTCTTCAGTACGCGCGCGCAACGACGACGACAACAACCCCCCCACCCCGCCCTTTTCAGAAAATTTACCCTGCACATGCCTTTTGGACAGTCTCTGCACAGGCCTGCTCCTCATCCACCAACATGCACACAGAAATGCCAACTGGTCTGGCCAGTTGAACCAGTGGCCTTCTTGCTGTGAGGCAACAGTGCTAAGCACTGAGCCTCTTAATATAGAATATATGTAGATCATGAAATATGCTCAAATAGCAATTGTTATTCCTGTAAGCATATCTTCAAATAGGCCTGAATGACATGAAATGGAGCTATTTTCAAGTTTTTCTCCAATTTTTCAAACTGACTTGCTTTGTGTTCTGCAGCACATGATTCAGGAGCGAAGTGGCCGTGTTCTCCAGGCTCTGTCTCCTTATCAGTCTCCGAGTACATCCCCCAGCTCCAGTCCCACCAGAGGACGCTCTACATCACCCGACAGCCACTGGCCCCTTCTCCGCTTCCGCTCACCACCACCCAAAGAAGCCTCCATCAGCAGCAGTGATGGTGACGAGGGGGACAAGTAGATCCACAATGGCAGATTAAATAACAAATTGAGATCTACAACAATTCTGAGATAACAGAGGTCTCAAAGATCCAGACTTACCTCCTAATTTTGCAGAAGATGTGTTCAAAAATTAGTGGTCACATTTACTGTTTCTCTGCCAATTTTTTTGGGGAGGCAAAATCCAGCCGTTTCAGTGGGAATGGGGGCTGTGTGCAACAAACTTCTGTATTCTGTACAACTTATTATTTAAGTCTTTGTTAAATATGGTTAAAGTTGCCATCAAAGGAACCACCAAAGATGAAATGTCTGTCATATACAAACTAATGTCAAAATAGTTATTTGATTTGACCGTTTAATAACACGTTCATCTAAAAGAAATATGATAAAACAGGATCAATATAAAGAACTGGCTAGTTTAGCTGATTAACTTAATAATATATATTGGTGTCACACTGTTTACACTTCTGTTAAAAAGACAATATGTAATATTGTATCATAAAAAATACGCAAAAAAACTAAAAACTATGTTGTATATTTTGCTGATTTATGCGCTTGCATTATCCCAAATGATTCTTAGAATGTTCAAATTGTCAAGTAAGAAACAGAGAGAATACAACTGTTAATGAACGACAGTTTAAAGTGCAACAGTGAATATAAGTCTTAAAGTGCTCAAAAGGATAAAAAGACTAGTAAAATGTCCAGGACAGAGAGTTACCACAGGTCCAAATGAACACACCATCTAATGGTCTAGAGCAGGGGTGGCCAACCCTGTTCCTGGAGATCTACCTTCCTGCAGATTTCAGTTGCAACCCTTATCAAACACACCTGCCTGTAATTATCACAAGGTGTTCAGGTCCTAACTAATTGGTTCAGGTGTGTTTGATATGGGTAGCAACTGAAATCTGCAGGAAGGTGGCTCTCCAGGAACAGGGTTGGCCACCCCTGGTCTAGAGCAGTGGTTCTCATGCTGCATTCACACCAGACGTAGAACGCGCGAATAAATCGCACGTAAATAGCCGCATGAACATTTAAGTTTACTCGCTTCATTCGCGCGTCAAACCCCGCTTCATTCGTGCGTCAAATTCACTTCAGAACAGACGCTGATTCGCGTGATGGACAGAGCTTCTGTCTGCCCGGTGAATGTAGCTTAGTTGCTAAATGGTTAACATGAATTGTATGAAGAAAATAACAGTGTTTATGTGCTTTATGAAGGCTGAAAAACAGCGTCGATACGTTTAGGGTCGTGTCTGAGTCCACTAGATTCTAGGTCCACTAGGTGCATCCAGCTCCATGAGCTCATAAACTCCTCCAGAAACTTAACCTGGATGACGGAGGCTTTCAGTGTTGGTCTGACTGAGCCGAGCCCAGTTTGATGAACTTTTGGTCGGTGTTGGTTGGAGGATTTCCCTCGGGACTCCAACAACAGGCGATACGTCACAATCACGCCCCCACAAGAGCAAGCTCCTGATTCCGCTGAAGTTCTGATTTTCGAACTCGACCGATTCGCGCAAAACGCGTGTTAAGTGCGTCAAGCGTAAAACGCTTAATTCGCGCCACTCCATTCGCACGTATCGCGCCATTCGCACCGCGCAATTCGTGTCATTCGCACCACTCCATTCACTCGTATCACGCCACAGGATGTCTATTTGCGTGTTTGCATTGACTTAACGTAAATCACTTGCGCTTGACGCGCGTTCCGCGTCTGGTGTAAACGCAGCATCAAACGGTAAAGTCTAGATCGGATATGCGGCCGGCCGGAAGTGCGATATGCACATTAATAAAGCAGCATTTATTTATGACACTGTATAACAATAATTAATATTTTTACAGTACTATGAGGGTTGGGGTGGGGATAGGCTTTAAAAAAAACATTTTATTGGGTAATTTAATAGATAACATAACTAATACTCGGTACAACTACAGTTTTTACATTACTGTGACGGTTGGGTTTAGGGTTGTGGTGGGGGTAGACGTTATTAAAATACAACAAATGAGAAATTTGATAAATAATAGAAATAATTTGCGTTAACTTCCGGCCGCAAACGTATCCGCTCTAGCAACAACCGCATCAAACCTTTTTCATCAAGTACCAACTCAGAAAAAAATTGTCTCTCCAAGTACCAACCATAAAAAGCAGTATTGAAATACAGTAGCGTAGCAGGCGCAATAAAGCAGCTACAGCTCTGCACAGTTCAAAAATGTGGAAGATTAATTCCTATTATTAAGAATATTTATTATTTTCAGCCACTTTAAACATTATAAATAGTCTGAACATTAACACTGCACTGTGCTTATATGTAAAAACAAACAATCAAACAAACAAATAAAAAAATAAATTGTCAACATTTAAATTAAAATGTTGTAAAATGTGTAAAAAGTAAAATAAAAAACTGTAGTACTTAAATGTAAAGTATTTACATATAGTAGCCAAATTATCAACACCTAGAAATATTGCCTGGACCTTAGAAATATACGCTAAATGTCATCATGTTCATATATAAATCGTTTTTAATAAATTTTTAAATATATGTAGCATGTACATATGACCCCACGTACCACTAGAAGGAAGCCCGTGTACCACTACCACAGTTTGAGAACCACTGGTCTAGAGAAAACCTGAACATTACACTGACAGGAACATGAAAACAACAACGGACTGATAACCAGCAGTGAAACACAGACTGTTAAATAGCCCACAAATATTTAGCTGGGACCCTCTGATTAGGTCAACTGATCGGAATGCACTCTACCATGAAAAGATAAACAGACACACCCACCCACGCACGCATGCACACCACAACACATACGTCATAACACATAACATACAGGAAGAACACACAGACCCATAAACCATGACACAAATCCAGAGAAATAAGCAACATTAACTAGACACACAGACCGTGTCCAGCATAGCTATGATTATGACATCATACACCCTTGATTCACGATTTCATAGAAAACTAGGAAACACCAAAGTTGCTTTAAATTTTGTTGTGTTTTTTATTAGAAACTGCTGCTTCTCAACATGATCACAACTAGAAGAACCGTAAGTGGCTGTCTGTGGCATAATAAATGCTTTAACGCATATTTTAGCTCATACATGAACATGATTTCGAGTCCCATAGGATGCAATGAAGACCACAACCCCATGATTCCACACTCAGCGTCATCAGACTACAGCTTTGCTTGTTGTGAATACGCGCCCTCTGGTGGCCAAAATGACATACTGTGCCTTTAATCTAACACCACAAGCTGATATCATTATAATTATTGTGTGAGCTTCTCTATTCTAAAAGAATTAGAGCCATTAGTAAAACTTTACTGTTAACATTATATTTATCTTCGATGTAAACAGACCTTCAGATTGAATATTATAACTCTGTGGTCATAATTATCACCCTTGTATTAAATAGTTATATGAAATATTTAGAAATTATGTATTAAATGCTGCTCTGTTTCTGAATGCAATGAAAGATGTACCACTGATCTAATGTAGTACAATATTTTGATGTACTGGTTAGTTTAAGAAGCACAGTGCAATTTACGGTGTGCCATCACTGCATAAGAAACATAAAAACAAATGACCTATTTAATGTTAAGCTTATGTATTAGGCATTAAGAATATGACGAGTTTCACTTATTACACACATTGAACATATTATCCACTTACCACCCCAGCCATGGGATCATATAATTTCTCTAAAAAGCATAATATACTCTTTTATGCTTAATCTGGATCTAAAATTCACATTAAAGTGCTTGTGCTAGTTCTGCTTTTTCATTATTTTCCAGTAGATCTGTGATTTAATTCTATTAAATCCATCTGTTCAAATGTGTGGGGTCTGTATAATAATTTACTTAATTTAAATATTTAATTTAAATATTATATATATATATATATATATATATATATAATTACTAATTTAAATATATATTTTTTGATAATCTGTAAATTGGTTGTTAAATGATAAATACGGATTTTTACAGTTCAAATTTGATTTTTTGGTATTGTTCTTTTAAGTGTAATTTTTTTGTTTAGTGATGCCAAAGTGTCATAAAACTGTAAATACAGTGGGGAAAATAGGTATTAAACATTTCTGAAAGAGCTGTTGGCATGAAATTGAACCAGATTTTGGTATAAACCCAAACAATACAAACAAAACAAAACAAAAAAATCTAATAACAATAAAATGGCCTTCTGAACTACTAAAACTTATTAAATACTTTTATAAAAGGATTTTTTTTTTGTGATGGCAGCTTAAAGATGCCTCTAATATGGAAAATAAAGTCACGAATGTCAAAAGGTGTAAAAATCGATGTTCTGTGGGTCTCGTTCATCAAATCTGATCTTTAATTAGTATTGGATTCAAGTCAGGTGATTGGATTGGCCATTCTACAGCTTGATTAACTTTTTTTCCCTGAAAGCATTTGAGAGTTTCCTACACTGAAAAAAACTTATTCAAAGATGATTCCTTGGATTTACTAATTTTGTAAACACTTTATTTGGGCTGAATTTAAACAAACAAATTAGGTAGAACATTATTAAACTACTTTGTTTGTTTAAATTCAACACAAATAAATTGTTTGCAACAGTTCTGCATGCAACACTTTTTTCAGTGTACGCTGTTTGGATCATAGTCCAGCTGAAATGTCCACTCTGGTTTCATCTTCAACATTCTGGTAATGTTAATAATATTCATCTACAATGACAAAGGGAAGAGGGTTGCTGAAGAACTACTGAAAGGTTTCTGCTTCTTTCTGGGCTTTCACTGCATTTCTACATCTCCCTTTCTTTATGTGTTGAATACTTTTTCCCTGTGACATTTCATTTTATTATGCATAGCTTAATTTGTAAACTGATTTTTCTTCTTTGCATATATGGATTTCTTTGATTTTAACCAACATCTGGTGACAATTTCGAGTCAACAGCACCTTTAAAAATATTTTCTGAGACAATTGTTCGATCCTTACTTTCCCCGCTGTATGTGTCCATCATAATTATTCTAATACGCTTGATGGTTCTTTGATGAACAGAAATTAATTAATAGTTGTTAGTAAATAGTAGGGATGTAACGGTATCAGAATTTCACGGTACGGTAATACCTCGGTATGAATGGCACGGTACGGTATTTATTGAATCATTTACAGGAAAAGCTAAACTAATGAAAAGACTCGAAAAAAGTGCCAAAAGTGTTTATTTACCTTAGCACTGAACACATCAATGACATACAAATTAGCCGTCTATCTGTAAGTTTCGAAACAGGAACTTCAATTTTTCAATTTTAATAACAAAAAACTATTAAAAAAGTCCCCATGACTGTTTTTAGTCGTATTCCCCGACTTATATTTCACCACAGTCTGGCAGTGCCTGCATACTGTTTTTTCTTTGTCTGTCACCTTTTCTCCTTTTTCGTATCTTTTTAGAAAGAAACCGAAATGCTTCGACACATCCGATTTAAAACCCGCTTCAGGTTCGATCATTTCCAGCTCTTTTTCTTCCCCGCTACTAGCAAC